TTCAGCCAGTAAGGAAAAAAAGATTTTGCAGGACTAGAGTATTATACCTCAGACCACAGCCCAATTTTAGGACAAGAGGGACTGAAAAAATTCTGAGCTCTGTAATTATAGTCCTCTGCTGGGAGGTGGAGCAGAGCCTGGCTTATAAGAAGGAAAATAGGCAGAATATTTGAGAAAAGGCATAAGCAGAATAAACACAAGCTTCCAAATAATTGTGATCAAAGTTATATTTTAGAGCGTTTCTGTTACACATGTTGATTAGAACTATGCAAGGGACACAGCCACAACATAAACTCTGTACCTTACAAATGCAAGCAATGTGGCCTAATTGTATATATCCTCATATTAACTGGAAATAAGAAAAAAATTTTAAAACTAAGACTAAATCATGTAGAAAAAATAACTTTACATTTAATTACCTCATTTAATCATTGTAACAATTCTATAAAGCAGATTATATTATCCCAATTTCACATACAACAGAAAGTCAAGGTCAGAAAGTTAGACAATTTGGCCAAGATCACAGGGCTAAGTGAGTAGTAGAGCTAGGATTCAAACCTAAGATTTATTCCAAAGACCATATACTTAAGTTATTGTGTTACACTTGGGTAGAAATTCAACCCTGAGGTTAGCAACCAGGGAAGTCCAACATAGTATGAGATGTGTCCCAGTAGTTGAAAAGAACAATGTCAGAGGTAAACAAGGTAAGTGCAACAGTCAGTACTCCACATACATTGGCAACACTGGGAAATCATCCACTAGCAACTAACCCCATCTGCCAGAAACATTCAGTGATGGGACTAATCTCTACAAACAAGACTAATGATAGAAAATAAGAAATCTGAAAATTAGGCAAATGCTTGAAGCAAAAACATAAACATGATCAATCAGATGAAGAATTTTTCTACTATAGTTGGAGTAAAACTGATTAGGACTAGGCTTTCATAATACAGCAAAAGTTTACCTCGAGAGCCAGACTACAAGGCTGGAGTCAGACCAGCAGCAAAAGCAATGATGCTGATTATGAGAATGTGATTTTTAATCTATTCCATCTAAGTCTTAGATTTGTTCTAGAGACTAATATGGAAGTCTACATAAAGCCCAATATCTCTCTTTCTAGCCATGAAATCGAGGGAAACAAAGGATAAGGCTCAAACATGATTTAAAAAAAAAAAACAAGAGGTTCATCACAGAAACAAGCTAGCCTTGCTGAATGTTTTGCCTTTGAGAGACACATCCCTAAGTTGCCCTTTCAAAGAGTTGCCCTCCTCCCCCCCTTTTTCCCCAAACAATACACTTTCTAAGACTCTCATTACTCTGTCGTCACTTCCCCCTCCATCACATGCTTCTCATATCAGTAGCACTGGACTGTGAAGGAGGGACTGTCATTTTTAGATATGGGTCATTTGTAAGTTGGGATTTATCTGTAAATGAACACAATGTGAAGTCAATCCAAAAGACAAAGGAAATTAAGGCTGAAAGGCTGATAGTATGCCCACATGAAAGGGAAAAGAAGTTTAACCAGAGACAGATCCATACTAAGATAGATAGAATGGAGGAAGATGAGCTTGTCACAAGCTTGTATTTCATCAACCTGGAAGTGAACAACCTGGATTTGAAGCGACAGCTATACATCAGTACTTGGTTATTCCAAAATCCTGCTACTGTCCAGACGTCAGACCTATAGCTCATATATGACCACCATTTCAAGAGAGATGCCAAGAATAAGGTCTCTGGGATGTCAGCACAATTTCAAATTATGTCATTTGAATGCATCCTGTTGGTCTTTGTAAGCCCTTTGTTTACCATGGGTCTTAGTCTAAATAAAATTTTTGAATTTTAAGAGGATCTTTAACAGCCATTTTTACATTTCCTCTAAGAGATCAGCACTACAACTTAGCTCTCTCTGAAGGGAATACAAGAACATACGAGATGCAGAAATCTGAGGACTTTTTCCTAGATTTATCACTAATCATTTATAAAATGATTCATTAAATCATTCATTAAATCATTCATTAAATAAATTTTATCTTTACAGTATATTCTTTCTGTTTTCTATCCCCACTCTCCTTCTTAAGCAACTCACTTCCTCCTGTTGTCTCTAACTACAAGTGTTCTTTCCTCCTATTGCCCTTCTCATTGCAGCACTGGCTGCTACCGACACCTGCTGTCCAATCTTCCTTCAGATCCACACAGAATTCCTTCTCCAAAAGTTTTAGTTTACGTCACTGGTTATCCTAATGTAATAAAATATTTGAGATAAGGTGCTATTACCAATGGTGCCTAAGGATTTTCTCTTTATCTGTATCATCAATGTTTGCTTATATATGTGTGTATATATATATTAGTCACCTATTTAACTACATCAATTGAATACTTATTATATGTCATGTGATATGACAGCAGTTTTACATGTTAGCTCATATTTTGGGTCTCCAATGCCTTCTTTATCTTGGACCCTAGGGTACATCAGGTCATTCTTTACTCCATGGATATGTGTTCAAGAAAGTATGACAGTAACTGCTCATATAATTTGCCTGGATGCTAAAAGACTTAATATGTAATATATTCTAATAATACACCAAAAAGATAAAAAAAAAATTTCTGAGTAATTTCTTGGTTGACAACTTACCCTGGTGAGTTATATAGCTCACATTCCTGGTCAGCTTGTTGCATTCTATCTTTAGGACAACAAGTGATTAACGTTGGATTTTCATGCAACTTGACAAGGCTATCAGGAAAGATATTTTTGGTCAAAGAGCACTTCACTGGGTAACATTATAACATGTAGCTTGTTTTCTGTTCTGTCACAGAGGAAAGCCAGTCCTAGTTAAGTATGTGATGAAGTCAAAGCCGAATCCAAGCTAAATTCAATTATAGATTATCTTTCTGAAAACTGTGGCCTCTTTTCCATGGTTGCAATGTGTATAACATGGAAGTTAGGCTTAAGCAGAGAAGCAGCCGTTTCTTAGAGTGTAGGTCCAGTAGAAAACACTGGCTTTTAAAATAAGGAAGAAAGTAGGAGTGTGCAAATTAAATAAAGATAAGTTGTTAAAGGTTAACCAGTTTCTCCTGGTGGTGTTATAAGCAAATGGCATAGTCATCCTCTGATTCTACAATATTTAGATGTTTTATTTCAGTCACATAGTGGGAGCTGAGAACAAATGTGGGTAAACCAGATACAAAATACCTTCACAGAACATAAGCTAAAACCTTTTCCTTAATCCTTCAGTGTTGAATCATATGTTACGTCCCAACGATAAACGTGAAGAATACCAAAGTAGTTCTGGTGTCAGCATGGTTTGGTACACACACACACACACACACACACACACACAGAGACACGGACACACACGGACACATGAAAGCATAACCATCCTGAAGATATATTATCATCATTGCTACTGTATGTTTCCTATTGCTGAAAAATAAATTATCCAAAATTTAGGGGATTAAACATCCACATATTATGTCATTGCCCAGTTTCTGTTGAACAGAGAAGTCTTGGCACAGTGTAAATGCATTCTCTGCTTTGGACATCACCAGGCTAAAATCAAGATTTTGGCTAAGCTGCATTCTTATCTGAAGCTCAGTATCCTCTTCCTAGGGTACTAAGGCTGCTGGAAGAATTTACTTCCTTGCATTTATAGAACAGAAGTCCCTGTTTTCTCATAGGCTGTCAGTGGGGTTTTGTCTTACCTCTTAGAGGTCACTCTTGGACCCTAACCACATGGCCTTCTTCGAAAGCCAGAAGATTGATTGATTCATATTCTCTCTCTCTCTAGTATGCCATAATGAAGTCTTAGATGCTGCATTGTAATTACAAGAATGACTATATCATTCCAACATTTGCTACATAACATAGCCTAAGCAAGGCAATGACTATGCCATTGTATTCACAGATCCCACCCACACTTAAGGAAAGGGGATTATACAATAAAGGTGGAAGCAGAATCTGGAAGGCCATCTTAGAATTCTACCTACAACAACTATTATTCAAAACAAAGGCTAACCTCTGAAATATATAACCAAGGAGAGAGGAAAATGTTCCTCACCTCTAGAACCTACAAACTCTACCAAAATTCCCAGAGGAAGACAGTTGGGTCTCAATCTCAATGTACCCTTTGAATTATGCCTAGTAAAAATGCAAATTCCTGTAGAGACAAATAATAGGGCTGACAAAGACTTATGGATAACTATCTTAAAAAGACCTGTACTTTGGGCAGCTCCTGTGGCTCAAAGGAGTAGGGCGCTGGCCCCATATACTAGAGGTGGTGAGTTCAAACCCAGCCCTGCCCCCCCCCCAAAAAAAAAACTGCCCAAAAAAGACCTGTACTTCACTTTTAGGAGCTAAAAATGACCTCAGGCTGATAGCTAGCCAGAAAATGGGGACCTCAGGCCAATAACTGTAAGAGATTGAATTCATTCAACAGTCTAAAAGAGATTTAAAATGAACCAAGAGTCTCAGAGACCACATCCCAGGTGACACTTTGATTTTTTGCCAAGGAAGACCCTGAGCAGAAGACCTAGCTAATCCATAGACTAGATACCTGACCAGTGGAAACTATGTAATAATATATTTATGCTTCTTTAAATTGCTCACTTTGTGGTAACTTTTTATATAGCATCAAAAGCTAACATACACACAAATTAATAAATAAACAAAATAAACAAATTGGCAAAATTAGTTTTATGGACTTTCTGTAGTAAGGCCTCTCATTAACTAAATCCTCATTTGTCTGACACAGCAGCTATAGTATTTTCAAGCTTTTAAAATGTATTAAAAATGAAAATATACCTAAAAATAAGCACACATTTTGGGGGTACTCTATAGCACTCTAGATAACAAATCAGAACTAAAATTCCTTAAATGACAAAGAATGCCAGACCACTGGGGATTTAACTATATACTCCAATAAGGATCAAAGAAAATCTTAATAAGCAATAATAGTCTATGTTATTTGTATACATATATGTGCATAGATACAAAGGGCACTTACTCTGAAAGTTGTTCACTGAAAAGACTTGAGGACGATAGAATCCTGCTTTGCAAATGCACTCATAGGCTCCGAGTACAAATCCTAGGCCTTTGATCGGCATACACTAGGAAAAAGAAAAGATAGCAACATGGTGGATCACAGCTTATTTCCCAGTATGAAGACTCACAGATAATCTATCTTTGTGAATGGTAACAGAACTAACACACTTTCCAGAAATAAAGTATCTCCTTTTTTAACTTTTATTTTAGGTTTGTTTGCCAACAGACTTTTTTTTGGAAGTAGCAAATTAAGTTTCCTTTCTAAATATACACCATTACAGCTGCAGTTGCCATACATCTTTAACTCACTCAGTTGCCACAGAGAGTAATTACTAGACATAGTTCTTGTTTTTAATGCCTAATGTTTCAACTTACTGCTTTAAAAACTATTTCCAGGCCTATAAGAATATTTTTAAAGTGATTCATACCAAATATTTCTACCAAAGCAAAGGTAGGTAGATAGGTATGTAGACAGACTCACAAAATTTAATGACATGAAAACTGCCTTTATGAATTAAATAATCATAAACTTCATACTTAAATCAAAGTAACACAAACTGATAGAATAATAAAACAAGTAAATTTTAAAATGCTAATTTAGAAAAGAAAAATAAAGATGAATTAATGATCCTAAGGGCTACTGACCTAAAATCTGTTTAATAAATATTCTACATGTACATAAAAAGAATAACAACAATGATCAGCTTTTCAAATACATAGCAACGCATAGACATCTCCCCAACAGTTAATCTTGGCTTCTTCCAAGAATATAAATAAACCCAAGGAAAAAATTGGCATACTTAATTTTTGCAATAGTTTATTACATAGTAAGGAATAACTTCTATTAACTATGACCATGACATGAGTAAAACAGGTGTGTTTCAAGAATCTCATCAACATTGATATCTTTTCTGATATCTCTCTACCAAGATCCCCACCCTTTGTCTTTTTGCCATTATAATCTGTTGGAGGAACTTAGAATCTAGTGGGCATACAAATTAAAATAGGTACCAATGATACAAAACCATTGGAATGGTTTTTGAATAAAATCCTAAATAATTTAAATAATAATTTTATAATCTAAGATTAAATGATTAGCATCAAGATAAATATTACATAACATGAAAACTCCAGCAAATAGAAAAGTATATGTAAGATACTCAGAGCTAATCACATGCTCTAAAATCAGAGATACAGCAATAAATCTTTGAAAAAGAGTTTTTTAAAGGACTTGAATATTTCATTTCATTAACACCTTTTCTGTTCACCTGACACACCCTTATATCCAACTACACCTTGCAACTAATAAATTTCTTAACCCAGAGCAAAATAAAATGGTAAGAGTACATTCAATTGAGCTGATATGGCAAGTATTTACAAAATAACTGCTATGTGCCTAGAGAATTCCTACAAAACCTAATGAAAATAACACACACTATGTATAAAGAATCAATTATATAATAAGTCAAATCCTATTTCTAAACTATGTCATTAAAAAAGCAATTTTAACATTTACTTGGGAGAAGCACTTGTATTTATGGAAAAAGCATGTTATTTGTAGTCAGTCAGAAAATGTAGTTTTGAATTCTGACTTTACCATTTCCCAACCATGTGAATGTAGACTATTCTTTTAACCTTTCTGAACCTTTTTTTTTTAATTTTTAAGGATAATTATTCAGTCAGATTCAAATATAGTCTGAAGAATGAGGAGCCACCAAGATATCCTAATGAGTTGAATACAGGGTGTAAAAGGAAGAAAAACATAAAAGATGGTTCTGAGATTTTGTGCCTGAGCAACCTTCAGAATGAAGTAATCATCACTCATCTGGGAAAGGGTACAGGTAGAGTAGATTTGGGGGGAAAAATCAAAAGTTCAGTTTTGCAAATGTTAAGCATAAAGTATTTATTTAAAATTTAATTCTGGATCTCAAAGAGGCAGCTTGATAAACTAGTATAGAGTTCAAGAAAGATGTCTGGGCTGTATAACTTGGGATTAATTTGCATAAAGATAATAGATATAGCCATGAGATCTAATAAGACTAACTCAATAAGCAGTGCCTATAAGCAGTGAGGGGAAACAGGCCCAAAGAAATGAGAGTAATTTGGCTGCAACATCTGTCACCTTACTGATTGCTTAATCTGGGTGACTGGGCAGGTCTCCTCAACCTTCCTAACTTCTCCATGTATGTCCCTCCTGAAGCTTCTTGTGATGTCAAAGAGGATGACCCTCCCCAATAGAAGAAGACCATTCTTCTGTCAAGGTACACAAGGAGCTCTGTTCCTGTTAGAACCTTCAAACATGCTGTTCAGGCAATAGATGTAAATGGTGAGACTTTGGATGCTAAAATTCTAAAAAGTTAGGCAGAAAGGAAGAACCAAAGAATACTGAGAAGAATAACTCAATGGGAAATCATTACTCTACTAACTATATTATGATGCCATGAACATAACACGTGGAATTTGATGTGAGTTACATTTATTATACATTCATCTGACAAGAATTTATCAAGGTAAAGTCAGTCTTCAATACTAAGAACACATTATAGTACTTTAAATATTTTGCCTCACTTGGAACTCATGGGTTTATGCTATTAAACCAGAACTAATTTTCTGATGGTATGACAGCACAACAACAGTGACTCAGTTAAGAAATATATATGCTCAAGATAGATACAGAAGATATATAGACCCTTGAAAGTTTCAGTTCTTCAAGATAAAAAATATCTAGAGATCTGTTACACCTGCAGTCCCCAACACCCTGGTCCATGGCCTGTTAGAAATCTGACTGCACAGCAGGGGGTGAGTATCCGGCAAGTATTACAGCTCTGTCTGTATTTACAGCTGCTCCCTGTCATTGACCATCACCACCTGAGTTCTACCTCCTTTCTGATTAGCATAAGACTCTCAGAGAAGCACAGACCCTACTGTATGCAGCATGTGAGGAATCTAGGTTGCATGTTTCTATGAGAACCTAATGATGATCTGAGGTGGAGCTGAGGTGGTGACACTAGTGCTGGGGAGCAGATGCAAATACAGTTTATCATTAACTGAGAGGTTTCACTGCACAGAGACCATAATAAATAAATTGCTTGCAGATTCATATCAAAACCATCCTCCCACCCCCATCCATGGAAAAACTGTCTTCCATGAAACCAGTCCCCAAAGGTTGGGAACTGCTGTATTATACAACAATGTGAATGCAACTAACATTACTGAGCACTTAAATAGGTTAAGATGGTGCGATCTTAAGTGTTTTTAACAATTAAATATTTTTTAAAAGGAGTTTAAAGTAATTTTTGTTTCTCAAAGATGTACATGCAAACATGAAAGGTCACATCACAGTAAGCATGACATATAATTCATCTCGCATGTCACGAATTGCCAATTCCAGGTAAACATAATTGTAGAGCAAAACTGCACAGCTTGACAGTCAAAAATACTTTGTAAGCAGGTGTTCCTGAGCAGTGAATGGTTAAAATGAAAGCTAAAATGAGATATAGACAGGGGAAGTATTGTTTGGCATTTAATAGAAACAATACTTGTCCCTAAAAGTCACATTTACATATAATTGTGAGGAAAAAACTTATTCAGGCTGAAAAGAGGAGGTAAAAAAATTCAAATATAATAGTTTATATAATTCAAAATCCTCTAGAAATGGACCTTTAAGTGCCCTTTTAAATTTTTATTTCGGAATCTTCACATATAGTAAAATCTAAAATGCTTCTGGCTTCTTTAAACCAAACCAAATTTAACATCTTTTTCATAAGTCAGAATCATTACTTTGAACAACAGGTACTGAATTGTTCTGAAATTCACTAATGTCCTTTGGAGCTACTGAAGGTTTATGACTATCTTCTCAAACACTACATATTCCAAACTGCTGTACTTTTTGAGTTTTTAATGCTTCTTTTTATGTTTTTCCCTAGACTTATCTCTGCAAGTCTCTTTTCCCCTTCTAAACTCTGGTTATAATTTCCTGTATACCTGGAAACTACAGAGTATCCCGAAAGTCACCCATAAAGTCACTATACATGGGGAAAATGGGAAACTGTAGCTGAATGCACCTTTACTTACAAAATACTCATTATGAAATTTTACAAAGAGATGGCCAACATGTAGAGAATATTTTGTAAAATTTTGTAATGAATATTTTTGTAAATAAATGTACATTTAGCTATAATTTTCCATTTTCTCTAAGTATGGCAACTTTAGGCACAACCTTTGGGATACCTTGGGTAGTTAAGCTTGCAAAGTAAAAGTATATGAGATAAAGAATACAGTAAGAGAAAATAGGATAACAAGCAGTTAATATTTACTGTTTACTTATGCCAGGCATTGCTGTACATGTATTAACTGTCCTATATCAACTCTATTATTATTATTTGCATTTTAAAGATAAGAGGATTAAGGTACACAGTGCTAAAAGTCATTTGCCCAAAACCGAGTAGGTAGCAGAATCAGGGTCTAACTTCAGAAGATTGGCTCCAAAGTCAGTGATAACTACTTTCTGGGAAGTATGGGTTCAGAGTAGTAGTACATAAACAAGGAAAAGATACATGTGACCAGAGAATTAATTTTGATTATTCCAAGACTTTCATTTTTCTCTTTAAGTTTCAGGCGTTATTCCATATGGACCAGTTTGCTGCATCATTAAGCTTTAAATTAGTAAAGGTTTTCAATTTAAAATAGTACATCTGAAATGTATTTTAAGAAGTGCACACCTGTTACAAATTTTAAAAATACACTTCTCCCTTTCCCAATGTAGAGTTCCTCAACTCAAATCTTAAAAAACAAGTCTGCACTGTGGGACAGTCAAGTGGACTCTCTCTTCCCTACCTGAATTTCTGGAAAACAAAAGCCCCTCTGTACCTAAGTTGAATCTCAGCAATGGAAAAGAAGGGGTTTCTATGGCAGTCCACTTATTGCTACTTTCTCACTTTGGTGGCTAATACATGGCTCTTCTCTGCTTTGACAGAAGACTTATCTATGATAATTCCACAAAGTTCCAGGCTATATTGAATTTGCGGAGCCTTATCCAAAAAGCAGATGGCAACACCACAGAGGC